CTCTCTCTCTCTTCAGTCTTCCTCTCTGGGTTGGCGTGCAGGAATGATGTGTGCTTCAGTGGACTTGTAGCTAATCAACCAGCGGATTCGCAGGCTGATGAAACACTTTGTCAACCTTTCTTCCTTTCTTTCTTTTGAATTATTCTTTGCATTTCTGCAACCTCATTGAGAAACCTGCAGAACATCGCTGTGCGCAGTGGTGATGGACCCTCGCCTTGACATCTTGGTTATGCACGCTTTCGAGTCAGCCCGCTTTCGCACGCCTGCTCATGTGAAATGCATCACTTCTGCACACAAATCCTGCTCGTCGGACTTTTCTGAAGAGCGACGGATGCTCGAAATGTCTTCTCTCCGTCAGTCTGAATGAGTGGGATGGCAAACCCGAAGTCCAATAGTGGCTATCTACGCGTTTGCACCTGTTCGGGTGGACAGTTTATGCCACAGGTGAATGAATATCGGCTCAGTTTCTCTCAACAGTGAGTGTTTTTGAAGCAGTTTTTTTTTTTTCTCATTCAAGATCGAGCTTGTTGCACTGTCGCAATGGATCTCAAAGTAGAAACCGAAGAAATGGACGCGAATCAACCTCCACCCTTGGAAGTTTTTGCGCACAGCTCGACCCTCCACGGGATCTCTCACATTTTCACGTACGAGCGGTTCTGCATCAAACGCTGCCTGTGGGTCGTGTTTTTCTTGGGCTCTCTGACCTTCTTGCTGTACGTGTGCGTGGATCGGATCCACTTCTACTTCGAGTACCCGCACGTCACCAAGCTGGACGAGGTCACGACCCCGATCATGACGTTCCCCGCGGTCACCTTCTGCAACCTGAATGCGTTCCGCTTCAGCCGGGTGACGCGCAATGACCTGTACCACGCAGGGGAGCTGTTGGCCCTGCTCAACCAGAGGTAACCAGCATGATCAGATGCATAAAAGTGCAAAATGAAGCCCATAAGTGAATGTTTGTACCTGTTTCTACTGCATGTGGCTTTTATTTTATAGCTATATCAAATGATTTCTCCACCCTTTCCCATTTCAGCTTGTCATTATAAATTAGTTTCATATTGCTAAAACTACATTTATTCAAGTACAAACTTGTATTGTAAAGTATTTTCCATTTTCTACTTCTACTATATTGTACTTTCTGACTCCACTATCACATTTATTTGTCAGCTGTAGTTACTACATAATTTGCATATTAATATTTAGATAGATTTAACTAAAATATAAAATGTTAGCTCCACCTCAACAAGAGATAATATAAAATATAAAATGTTGCTTATACATTATTGCATCGGTAATACTCACAGGGGCCACTTTTCTACATTTTGATCATTTAAGTACATTTGGCTTATCATTTTGAATGCAGGACCTTTACTTGTAATGGGGTATATTTCTTACAGAGCTGTATTACTACTTTTACGGTACTACAACATAAACAAATAGTCTGCTTGGAACAATAATGTGTGCCTGATATGGCTTTTCCACAAAAAAAGGTATAATTTTCACAATAAAATCCTTTAAAAAAGCATGTGCTCCTTCTACCTCATTAAAAATACCAGAATCTATGAAAATGCATATGTTGCTAATTTCAAAAATTTTCCTGCTGGACACAAGATGTCTCCTACTTCACTGTAAAGTCCATTCTCAGTGTACGTGCACTGGCGGCTTTAAGTTTCTACATCACACTTTCATACTGGACCAGGATTGACTTCCAAAAAGTATTTATGATGTCACAAATCCTGCTTATAGGCCCCGCCCCTTAAAATCTGATTTTCGATGAGCACAGAGAAACTTTACACTTTCAGCAGATGAACGTAAAAACATCCTTTTAGTGTCAAACTCAAAGATCAAACATCCAACTGTAGGAACGAGAAGAAAAAAATATTTTTAATGGAGGGGAGCTTTAAGAAAAGGATCTCAAAACGTCATCCATCACTGGCAATTGTGTCTCACTCATCCAGCTCTAATAGTTTCTACCTTATTGAGTCTTTCAATGCTTGGATAGCAGGCTTGTCAGGCTTGAATTAACTGGCATTTTAATCAGAGAACAGCAGCCGTCTTGTTGGTGCAGCTGAAGGTTCTGGATACTGGAGCTGGCAACAGCATGTAGTGTATGCACATGAGGGATACATGCAGAGTGTCTGCTTCCTTTGATTACAAGTGAAATGGCAGATGCACTGGGTGTTTTTGTCATTTATACTTTTAAATCCTCATGTTTCCAAAACCTCAACAGAGCTGGAAAAAAAAAAAACAACTCCAGCACATTAAATTCACTTTGTTTCAGAGATTCTGCTTCTCTGCATAGTCAAGAAGAAAAGAACAGTTGAACAAATAGCCTATTTTCAGTGATTAAGATCATGCACAGGGCTGCCCAAGCATCAGAGGAGAATGAAGAAACATCTCACAGAGCGGAGACTGTGACTAATCCTGGCTTTTGAAAGCTGTTTTGATAAACATGTTGCTTTCCCTCTGGTGTTGTAATATTGTTCCAAATGTCAAAAGAGGCTGCGATAATGAAACAAATCAGCAAGATGGTGTCATTCACCGCATGTGGTGGCGGACAGTATTTCAGGAGAGCGTGGACTAGTGATGAAAAAGATTTTAGAAAGTGTAAAACCGCTCAGATCTCCAATGATTTGAACCTCTGACAGGCTGTCAGTTAAAGTGATCAAGGACAGGGCTCAGCATACAGAGCTAAAGCCCTCTGGCGGCTTTACTTTTATGAGGGTATACAGCCAACTTCTCTCATAAATTTTTAATGAATATCTCAGACTAAACACTAAATTAGCATTTATTTTTCTATGGCGCTGCTGTGATTGATAATCAGCACTTGCCATCTGGATATTTGTACCTGAACACATCCCAAATTTCCAGGTAGCGGGACACAAGAAAGACTTTTCAAAGTTGGAGACCAAAGCATAAAGGGGGCAGATTTTCCAACTGAGTTTTCTTCCCCATATACTCATCTCAACTCTCACACTCTGAAGTAGGTTTAGCGCTCATTATCCTGCCTCTCTTGGCAAGGTAGAGAGGCGATGCAACGGCACACTTAGCTGTTATACCCCCGGCCAGAAATGAAAGCGCTCTGGGCATGAAATCCATTTAAGACTGTTCTCTACCCACTTCCCATGTTTGGAGTCACTGGCCTGGGAAATGTCTTGTGGCATGATATTTAAGCTGCACACATGCTGAAGTGTCAGCCTTCGTTGATCCCGCCGGCTCATTCTTATGGGATTTTATCTCATAAGTGCCTTCTTGGCAGATTTGTCTACTACACAAACAGTGGGGAGCGACCGTGTGCCTCTCCTCAATTAAGTTCTCTTTCAATCAAACAAAAACACTCCCCATTTGTAACGAGGCTTAACGTAATCTCAGTGTCACATAAAAAAATCTATGAGCTAATTTTTAATCCTGAATTAGGCTAGTTATTATTGATTTAATGTTTGGAAGATGTTGAATTTCCCTTTGAAAATGAAAAACAAAAGGATTACTGCTCCTAGTTTCAAGTGTTATGCCACTGAATCTCATTCTTGTTCATGTAATGCATACAAATGTATTGGGTGTATCAATATGTTGCACAAAAGATCAATAAAAGATCATTTTCATATAAAAGTGGCTACATTCATATGAGAAATTTCCAAAAGGCATTTCGTTTGAGGCAGTGTACTAAAAAAAAAACTCTAAGCAATCTGCTCTTTGGTGAGTCCATTAAAATGGTGACATTTTTAATAATAGCACAGCGGGAGATCACAGCGAGGGTAGAGAGTGGGCGCATTTACAGCTATTCTGCTCTCTTTTAATACGAGGCAACGTGGTCAGATTTTTGCGAGCTCCATTAAATGAAAGGAAATTTCCCAGTGCCCCCGATAAGGCCGGGTGTGATGTGGGTTGTCTGGCTCCCCACTCAGTTACTCATGGGCCTTTATTCTTAATGTAGTCATACACACAAAAAAAGTACTATGCCTGGTGATACAGACAAAATGAAATATCACAGAAATGTAACTGAATACCAAGCTATTAATAATGTGAAGATATCACTTACACGAGATATTACTATGCAAGGAAATGGTCGAGACATTACTGTTAGTGATAAGTATATAATGAAAAATGAGGAGACATCCATTGCTCATTTCACTGAACAAATCTAATGCATTTAGAACATCGTATCACTTCACAGGTCCAGGAAAAAGACATAAAAGTCATAAAATCTCAATATTACAATATCAAAAATGTGATTTTTCCATCTCTTGTGGACACAGTCAGACACACAGCATACGCTATCTTAAACATGGATACTGAATATCAAACCATACAGCGGCTTGTAAAGAATCTCCTATAGGTCTTTTTCACAGTAGCCATTTTGACATGAAATAGTAGGGTAAACACACTGATACTAATTAAGGATCTGCTCCATTTGGGAACAGATTGTGCATGTCGTGTCTCACTTGGAAAGGCTCTGCTACATTAAATGGAACTGAACCTTAATTAGTATCATTACTAACACCTGTCACCCTATTTTCATGTCAAAATGTCTAAGATACACAAACACGACTAACTAGTCTACAGCCACGCTAGCTCTGCTATCAAGCTCACAATGACAATGTTAACATGCTGATGTTTAGTAGGTTTTTGTTTGTTTATTTGGTCATAGATCAAAATATACTGGACAAATACAAATTTTTACCTGATGATGGTGTTTTTTTGGCCATCATCAAAGTGATTATAAATCATCCTGACAGGGGACACAAGTGTCTGCACCAAATTACAAGACAAATCATCCAATAATTGTATTGGTACTTAACAAAACTTAAACTCATTAGAAAACATCGTCTGGGGGGGGGAAAGGCTGAGTTTTTGTGCTTTATTTTGTGCTAGTAGGAGTTTAGTTAGTAGGAGTTTTATTATTTCTCAGGATAAGTGAAAACTTTGACCTGCTGGTGGTTCTAGATGAAAAACCAAGAGATCACCAGTCTCTCTCCATCCTCTGCAGACCATGAATGTCTGGACCAAACTTCATGGCAATCCTTTATGTAGTTGTTGAGATATTGTGTGTAGACCAAATTGGTGGACTGACTGACTGACATTGCCATCCCACGCTAAAACTCTCTAATGATAAAAAACAAACATAAAAAAGTTCATCTAATGCTGCAGCTTCTTATTGACTCTTTTTTTTACGTGGGATCAAAGTAAAGCATCCTTTAGTTTTTGGAAATGTATCTTTCTTGTATTGGAAGAAGTGACAGGAAGAATTCACTGACTGTGACAGAAATAATGAGCAGGGATACTTGTAATAAGTGAATTCACTCAATGTCAGCCGCACCACTAACATTTCAGTCAGATTTATTTTTCTGAATTCTCATGGATAAAACGATCCAATCAACATAAACACAAACACATTTTATTCCTCCAGGTTTGGATCCAGATAAGTGAGCCTGTGTAGCCTGAAGCTACTGCATCGACAGTGGATAGACGACTGGCTTTATAAGCCCGTACAGCTCTTGTCTGAACTTTATTATGTACTGTACAATAAAACGATACACTCTGGTAGTGCTATCAGTTCAGGGCCAGAAGATGTTCAGGACCATCTCGTACATTTTTACTGTCGGTTTTCTGTCTCTTTTGATTCATTCTGCACTCTATTATTTTTAGCTTTGGTTGAACTGAGCAAAAGTTCACAGATAAAGAGTCATACACCTTCTTGAACTGTGCAAAAAAAATGTTTCAAGGCTGAAATTCACTCTTTACGAAGTCGAGTTTATCATCAGGCAGTGATTATTCACTGGGAAGGCGCTCAAGGAAATTCATCAAGCCGCACCATGAAATTAGCATTTTCTAATGTGTGAAATGTTTTTTCAACCTCTCTCTTTCTGTCTGTTTTTCCAGGTATGAGATCAGGGACATACATCTCGTGGAGGAGAGCGTTCTGGAGAGCCTAAAGGTGAAAGCCGATTTCCACAATTTCAAGCCGCGACCCTTCAACATGAGGGAATTCTACGACCGCACCGGTCACGACATCAACGACATGCTGCTCTCCTGCCACTTCCACGGCACCGAGTGCAGAGCGGAGGACTTCAAAGTGGTAAGCTGTCTCCCAAGAAGATCTGATCCGATCACGGCTAAAGGATATATCTAGTGATATTCTTTGTTATTGTCTACAAATCCTGTTAAGACCAAAACTGACAAAATCCTGCTAACAGGTGTTGTTTGTGAAAGCCTCATGTATTTTATTTCTCTTATTAGTTGTCTAGTCTAGTTTTTAATCTAAAATTAAATTAATATTACAGCAAATATCGTGCACATTGTTAAATCTTTCAAAAAAAAAGGATTTATTTGGACATTTTTTGGTTGGAAAACAGTATGTAAGCTTCAGACCTCTGGGTGGTGTTTCCCACAGCAACAGTTGACTAATATTTGTGAACTGCCGTTGCTAGGAGACGCGTTGTCAATTGCCATGGTCATAGCCCTGTAAAGCTCATGAAAGCTGATACAAGACTTTTTTTTATTTTCTCATCAAGTGTAATAAGATGAGTGACTCCATCCAGTAGTTCAGGTTTAGTGGCTCACTGCTGCCCTCTCTCTGTAGGTCAGTGCTGCTGCTCGCTGTGTCCCCAATTCATGAGAGATCCACATAAATATAGGTCATTAATATCAACATATCCTCTGTGTACGTGAGTGAAATGCTATTGAAAAGAAGACACACATTGCAAAACATTTTACAATGCTAAATTAGTCATATAACTTGAAAGAGTGCATCCAGTAAACAACTTAGCTAGCCATTGTGTGAAAATAACTTTGTTTTTGTAGGGTAGCATTTGCCAAACACAACACAACGTAGAGTCAGGGGATCGCTGTTGTGTCTGGCTGAACTCACGCTATTGTTGGTTATGAGTTTGTGTTCCAAAAAGATGAAGCTAGTTCAACTGTCTTACTAACAATAGCACCACTTTTTGCTTATTTCAACACCTGCTGTCTCACCAACAGCTGTATTATGTTTGATTTCAGTGCCTACACATCGTCTGGGGATTTCCAAATTGCTTGAATGGCAGCAAAAGAACGGCTGCTAACAAAGCTGAAACAGTGCTCTCCCTCGGTTTTTAGAGCTTTTTAAAACACAAAAAATTGATCTCCAGAGCAACGTTTATTGTACGACAGTGTTTACAAGCACACGACTTATGCATCTCACTGCTATACAGACTTTGGATCGATTCTATGATGCAGGTTTTTTTTATTTCCTTAATTGTTTCCACACAATTTTAGTAACGAAAGCCAGGAGAAAGTCCTCAGTCTCAACGAAAGCGTTTAGAGACTGGATTGTGAGTTCACATCACGACACAAAGTATTGAATGGACTCATGGAGTAACGTTGGACGGTTAACAATGTTGCTCTGCCAACATTTAGGGGGTTCTTGGTGATAAACCAAATAAACACTTAAGTCAAGACAAATCAAGAAAAAAAAAAAAAAAAATATATATATATATATATAAAAGATGTCTTAGCTAAAATAACCACCATGAACATACTGTAATTTATTTTGAATCAATCCCACATCCAGTCCTTCAGGCTGCTACCATAAATACTCACTAGGGAACCAGATACACTGCTGGAAATAGTCCCCAACAAATGCACTATTTAATCCTATTCAAGTTGCTTGTCAGAAATTACAGCTATTTTAGGAAACTATTAACAAATGTTTGTATTGTGAGATGGACTAACACATTGTTGGTTTTGGTCATTTCATGGTTTTCTTCTTTCTTTCTTTTTTTTAAGAAAAAAACCAAACATCACCAGGCTCGTCCTTTTTAAAAGAAAGGTGCTTTTTAAAACACAGTGCGTTTCAGTTGGTGTTAGAGTGCAGACAACACGCTCTGTATAAATCATAGGATTATCTATTTATAGTGAGTTAAAGAATGATGAACCCCCACAGCAAAGAAAGAGCAAACCTCTGAGTGAACTGAAGGAAAATACATGTAGTTTTCTGACCTGAGGATACCTGCTGTGTGTTTCTGCAGCCAGTTCAAATCGAAACCTTGTCACAGTACATGTTTTTGTGTGAACATGTATGCCTTTTTATTCCCGGGAGCACGGGCATACATTTACAATACAAAGTTAGATTTACAGTTCCGTGATTGATTTTTCTTGTTTCTTCTTTTATGAAGTTAACGTTGGGGTGTGTTGATATGGCTCTGCCTATAAAATATGTTTTGAATTTGTGTGACAAGTCCTTGTTAAAATTTACGATCAAACATAGTTTTGAAGCTTTTTATTTATTTAGTCGATTCCCCATAGCTCTGTGTAAATGTTTACATCTACCTTTTCATCTTTGTATCATTATCATTTGCTACTTCAAAACAAGGGAGAGGCAGCGTCCTTTGAAATTAAACCCTCGTGGAGAAGAATAATAATGCAAGAGAAGAATAATGCAGTGGAGCTGGTCAGAGAAAAGCCCACTGACATTATATATGTGCGTCTGACTGTCTGACTGATGTTGTACTACATTTTCCCTGCAGCAATAAGTACAGCTCCCTGTCTCTGCCATAAAACCCTGCTGTTGCTGCTGGCACACCCAGACACTGTTGCCAATGGTCACTGGCATCGGACGTGGTTTTTAATTTCGAGCTGAACATTGATCACTGCACACAGCAGCCTCACTGAATAAATTAGATTAAGTTTAATGGTAGTTTCTTTTTCTTTCCCCCACAAGAAGATTCCCGTTTATCTTCCGTGGACAGCTGTGGAAGAAGTTGTGGATCCTCTTGTACATTTTATTCATTAAGTAATCATTAACATGTTGTGCGTTTGAACTGTGTGGCGTCACTCAGTTCTCACACAACCAGGAGATGACTAAGAAAAAGCTTGTAAATGCCGGCCCGAGAGAATTTATTTTTGGTGTGCGAACATTAATACACACATTCATACACAATGACACCAAAGAGGAGCTCTACACGCTGCCACTTACTGCAGCAGCTGCACTGAAGTAGCTTTGAAGTGATATTTCTGCTTGTGGGCAATTTTTCCAACAAAGAGAAAGAGAAAGAGAAACAATTGGACGCCTTTTTTATGTCCCTGCATGCAGTCTGAAGTGGTGAAAGATTAGTCTATAACCTCAATTATTAGATGTCTCTTGTAACAAGTAGGAACTCTGATGTGTTTTGGTTTCTTTACAATGGCTCCTCCTTTAAATTTAGAATTCAGTTCAGGATTTAAGGATCACTTTGAGAGCTCTGCATGGTAAGACACCTGCCTAAATAAGAGAGCTACTACAGCCCTGTATCAGCTCTAGGTATCTGATGTCTTCTGATCAGGGCTTATTGGTTGTAGCTCAGTTCAGCCTTAATATTGAAGGAGATTGTGGCTCTTTGAACTCATGTTTACTTTATAAATTATTATATAAATAATTATGATTGAAGGTAAGGAAATACACCTTCTGTAGTGCCTCTTATAGTTAAGAAGTTGTACAGTTACACCCTGACGTTAACTTCTATAGTAATAATAATAACTTCAGTATGACTCTCAATAAGCCCTGTGGGGTAGAGGTGTTCAGTACATGTACGAATAAATCTTTAGCATTGGATCTTCAAAGTGAACTGATTATACTGAGTCACCATTGTCCCTGAAAGAATCAGTAACTTTTATCAGTGGAGCTCTCCTCACTGGTAACTCAGAGCGCCGTTATCAGCCCAGCCACAACTCACAGTAGATTACTCTCATTAAAAGCTCAAACCCACAGAAACAATAAATAAAGGGACAACTGTCCAAAAAAAACCTGTTACAAATAATTTGCTGCTTTGCTATTAACCTCGTAGACAGTGCTCATAGCGGCCAAAGCTCACTGATGCACATGGGGAGCGAAGGCTGGCCCATGT